GGCAACGAACATATTATAATTCGAATCGCCGGCCACCACCACGAGTAGAAAAAACACGTTTTCAAACCGGCACTGCATCAAATTTTAATTCATACACAAATATTAACAGGTATGTACCACCACCCCCGCCTGTTATCCAAAGACAACAGTACCCGCAAAACCCTCACCCTCAACGATACAGACCATTTCAACATAATAAAGGTAAGTTCGTGAGACGCACATATGACGAGGTACTAGCTGGTCAGGAGCAACCACCGCTACTCATGCACATCAATCCATTTGACATACTATTTGAAGACCCGGCACCCGAACCAGAGTATTACAAAGAATACCAGCAACCGCAAAAGGTAAGGCAAAAATATAATCGACCACAGGAACAACGGCGAAAGCAACAACCAATAGCGGCCAACGACTACTTCCCGGCTAATACAATAATAGAAACCGATGACCTTTCGCCGACCGATGGTCATCATGAACAACCACCAGAAGAAAACCCAATCGTGCAAGCACAGGCTTCTCGTATTTTGCGACCTATTCACATCATTCTCTCCTCATCGATGGCCTCTCGTATACGGACATCACTACTCTACAATCGAAATAACCATGTTCGCATAAAATCAATTTCAGGTCACACAATATATAAATATCAAGTAGAAATTTCCAGTGGACAGTACAGATATTTATTATACGACGCTGCAAGTCTGACATTTGTAGTAGGCACAAATGACATCGCATGAGACGATGCAAATACAGTAATCGATCGTATAAAAACACTCATAGAAACGACAAAACCACTTTATCAAAGTAGGTTTTTAGCTAATTTCGAAAGTCGCTGCGAGCTAGAATTTTCCATGTCCTCGTTCAAAGTACTATATATCGAGATGTTTTCTAAAAGTGGATGTGTGTGTGATATTGTATTCATTGTATTTCGTTGTGTTAAACGTTTTCCGTCTTCTGCCGTTTTCTTACATCATAGAAAGAAAGGAAGAGACAGCTACCTTTCCTCTTTCCCTCGTATTTACACCGAAAATTGAATACACTGGAAAATTCTCCTAAAAAAATACCCCATGAAACGAAACACCTCCATTTTAAAAAGAAAAGACAATTCCTTCCTCAAATCCAAGCGGCATAGGTATGACGACGTGATATATGTATACCCCCTCCCACTGTCATTGACTGTGTGATATATAAATAGTATAGGGTGCATATATGACTACGTGAGCAGATGCGTGATCAAATAAAGACCCCCTCAAATATTTTCTTGTGTGATGAAAATTGGACCCCCTGCAAAAAACGTCGATTAATTATTTTATACGTAGCACAACTAAAAATTCATTTTCCAAGACAACCGACTTACCAGTAATACCACCCAGCATGTTTTTAAAAACATATATTTTTTAATAAAACCATTTTATTATTTAATCAAGCATTTATTCAAACAACGTCCGCATCATTTCTATTCTCTTTTTACCCTTTGCGCTTTATTTCATCTTCTGTACTTCTCTTAGTACACAAAAACATCAGAAAATCAAAAGAACCAATTTTTATTAAATTCGGTAAAGCTTTTCCTTTTTCTTTTTATACTTTTCTCGTTGAACTTCGTCTCCTTCGATTTATCATTATTTGGGAAACACCCTCACCTTCGTCACTATCACCCTCTCTTTTTCCGATGCAGCTTGCAGCATCTATCACTATATCTAGTGAATCTGTAGATGCTAACTGCTTTTCTCGTGCTGGGGGCAAACAGTTTTTGATATACCATTTAACACCACTTCTGATTACAACACTGTCCTTGATACCACTCGACTCTTCCATCGACTTAGACTCTTTTACTCTTGAATTTCTGCGTGACATTATCACAGAATACAAATGGAATCAAACTTTAATCTTGTAGCCATAGACCAGATGAGGAGAAACGAACTTTATTTATATGAATAGTACGTTCTGTCGATATGAATAAAAATAAGTTAGTATGTAAATAAGTTAGTTATGTAGTTAGTAGAGTAGATTGGTTAATCATAGATCTGTTATTAATCGTCAGATACTCCTACTTTCGTCTATACGAAGATAAACAATAGATGATTCACATATAATACTTTTCACAAGTAGCAATAGCCGACGATCCTGTGTAACCACCAGTGACAAGAACTTCGCCCGAATTTAGCAGGGTTGCAGTATGAGAATAGCGTGCTGTTGTCATGTTTGCAGTAGTGGTCCATAGGCTCGTTGATGGATCAAATATTTCACAAGTAGCAGTAGACGGCGATATGCCATAACCACCAGTGACAAGAACTTTGCCCGAATTTAGCAGGGTTGCAGTATGAGAATAGTGTGGTATTGCCATGCTTGCGGTAGTGTTCCATTGGCTCGTTGATGGATCATATAGTTCACAAGAAGCAGTAGACGGCGCTTGTGTGAAACCACCAGTGACAAGAACTTTGCCCGAATTTAGCAGGGTTGCAGTATGATATTCGAGTGTTGTTGTCATGTTTGCAGTAATGGTCCATAGACTCGTTGATGGATCATATATTTCACAAGCAGCAGTAGGCGACGATCCTGTGTCACCAGCAGTAACAAGAACTTTGCTCGAGTTTAGCAGGGTTGCAGTATGA